TTTCGCAACCTCTGATGTTCGAACCAGCAACATGTGGGGTCTAGCCATTGCGCCAAGGTTCCTGTTCCTGTGGGTTTTGATCGACGGTATTGACATTAGTGAACAGACGCTCACCGATGGGTTACGGAACTCACTAGTCCCGGTGGGCGTTTGGGTTCACTCCTAAGCCTGTCCAGCAGCCACACAACGGCTAGTATTATAGGCAGGAATACTTTACCGATGAAAACAAGGGAGCCTGGAAGGGCCACTCTTGGCTCATTAGCTGTCATAAGCCAGTCATACCCAACCCCAAGCGGCGAACCACCCGCAACTCGATCATGCGACCTTTGGTTCACAAATCCAACGCTCTAACCACTACGCTACAGGCGCTCGTCCGCCAAGATCAACCGAAGGAGTTTGCTTACCTCTTACATTTTATGCTTCCTTGACTGTCTTCCTGCGCTGCGAATGCTCTAGGTCTCGGCACGGAGCCTTCCATGACGACTTGGGTGATGCCGGGTCTGGACCGTCTCCGACTGGATCTCATTGAAGCCGGTGATAAGGACGCCGCCGAGGAGTTGGAACAACTGTCTGCTGACCTGCGCCAACGTCTTCTCAGCCAAACAACTCCTCAACACCCCACAGAGTTAGTATTCCCGGTATTTATATATACATATAAAGTAGCAGATACGCGTACACCGATCTGATAGAGGACACACTCGTCCGTCCATGTTTTCCTTAGAGCTCTCACATGAGCATCCACCGCAGGGCAGCTAGGATATAGGCAGAAGGACATTACCGACAAAGACATAGGACACTACAATCGCCATTTCTGGCCTATTTGCCGTCATCAGGTAGTGATACCCAACTCCAGTGTTGCTGCTGAAATTGCTGCCACACTCGAGTTTCGAACTCGCATCTCTCCGGTCAGAGGCAAGCGCCCTAACCATTGAGCTATCGAGCTCGCACTCTTGTCGGTATTAGATATGTGGGGCCAGCCGATCTGTTGAAGGAACATGTGCGTTCCGTTTATGCCCTGGTGCTCACTACAGAGCCCGTACAGACTAATACGGTCTTTTTCCACCTTATTATCTTATATACCCCAAGTATCCTCAGCTAAGTAAAATCTCAACACCCAAATAGGAGTTTTGCCTTGCTGACGCTCGATGCTTGTCCCATCTTCAGTAGCTGAGGGATTTTTGCTTAAATATTCAAGGCAGGTTTCGCACCGAGTCTGAAAAGGTCTCATCAGAAGGATTTGCTCCAACCGAGTTAGTCTTCTTATCCTGTATTTTGCCTCCTTCAGGCTCGAGGAATGTCCCATCTCAAGGATAATGTGGGTGGGATGTGATAACTCATAAAGTCTCATACGTCTCACAAGAACTCCCACGAGAATGTCCTATTATAGTTCACTGCCCCAAAAATCAGTTTTTCTTCCTGTAAAATTTAAAGCGTTGGAAATTATTCGTATATCGGGCCTTTTTCCTTCTAGAAAACATTGGAAATGAATTCTTCTTTAGTAAAAGACTTCCACTGCCCCACCTGAGGTCGTTTATTGACCATAACAACCCCAAATTTATGCCACATTAACTACTTAGATTTCAATTGCAACATCTAATGAGTTAGTTCATATACACTACTTGCAGGACATGGGTTGTTGTGTCCGATATCTAAACCTAGTCAAAGTTTCACGAGCCTTGTTTCGGATTTTATAATTGCCTTTTGACATGCGAGTGAGCATTCTTTTGTGCGTAGACCAAATGCTAAGTCGCCAATGTGTCTTTTGTTTAATTCGCGGTTTCATACCTTAAATGGCGGGTCGCTTCTGTCTTACCTTCGGAGATGAAAGTTATGCTGTCCACCATAAGACATTTGTAAACGTAAAGGTTATTACTCTATTTACAGGACCTTGGATAAATAGACTTTGTTCTCTTTAAACACTTGGTTAGGCATCTTAACTGTTGCACGCACGTATATATTCATTCAGGAAGGGCTACACACTGATCCTATTGGTTTTCTGAAGTAGGGCGGTCATGGGCAGTTTACCATCTGACAGGCCTAAGGCAATCAAGCTATAATAGCAGAGAGGGAGGACAGCGTTTTGGGGTAAACTGATACAGGACTTTTTCGGGCAGCCGACTGAATCGAAGTATGCCATAAGGAGTGTCGCCTATGATTCACCACCTGCCAACAATCAGTAGGCTGCCATAAAATGAGTATTAATTACAATAAAGGGACTTTCCAGTCGTCGCTAAATGCTGACTACAAATCGGTAGGGCCAGTGAAACCTGTTTTAAATTAACTGACGGGCGTTTAATGAACACGGTAATGGATATCAGTCTGATTTTGTGCAATTGGACCGCAGTAAAAGCTGCCGTACAATATTTTTGGCATTACACAGGACTAAGATTGTATGCGGCTATTCAGCGATCAAAGATAAGAAAAAGTTTTCTTGATACAGCCATTACTAAAGAATAAATTCAAATCAGTGGATATGTATTGCCTCAGTATGAGCAATTTTGATATCAGAACTGAAAAACCTCAACTTGTGGGTTTTACTCCGTTGACGCGAGAGGCGTGTATTTTAGTGACTTACCCTAGTACCTTTGAGTGCACAGTCACCAAACTGAATTGAACAGCGAAACAAAGAAGGGTTATTCATGCAATCTGAGCCGGACGTTTACGATCTGTACATTCACGTGATTTGTCGGGCAATACTTTTGCTCATGTCCGATCACAAGGAACCAGAGTTCTGGATACAAGGGAGAATGCCAATCCCAGGAAATTGAGGAGTCTTTTCAATAGATGAACGATTAAATTGTTCGCCTGACGTTTAGGATTCATGCTCAAACACATCATCAGAGACAGCATCATATACGGGTAATTCGTAAACCGGGTGTTGCAGTATCTTTGGGATACAGTGGCTATGCTACTGGACATGATGGCTAACAGAAGCTTATATAGTGGGTAAGGTAATAGTCCATAATCGTCACCCGCATGTGATTGGGTGGCGATTATGGACTATTACCTTACCCACTATATAAGCTTCTGTTAGCCATCATTTTGAATTAACTGTTTCGTACAATCTCCATCCATCTGACGACGACCTGGCCTGCCAGTGTCGAAAATTTACACAATAAACCACTGTTTCCAAAAGAACTCCCTCTATCGAATTATAAATCTTGGGATGCCGATTTTCAAGTTCACAGCCAGTTATGTGAAGTGTTTATATGGTCCTCGGGGTAGGAGTGGGGGTGTCATTAGTCATAGCGATGATCCCCCGTCTCATGCATGCTGGCGACAGCGTGTTGGAGATGTTGGGTCCGGCGAGCAGGGAAGAGGGGGGAGAAATGTTCTCACGGTCGCCGGTTTGGGGTCCGTACATCAGTCGCGCGGCGTGTGTTTGACTACCCTCTGTGGCTTCGTGTGACTTGGTTTCCGGCGGTG